AGTGTTTGAGCCTTTTATATTATACATATGTTGGGAAGGTTTGGCCTCTACAACCATATTACCAACAACATCCACCTCTGATGTTATGGGCCAACATTACTTTTAGAACAAACCCCTTTTTCCTTTTTATTCTTACCTATCATCATTTATGCTCTCCCCCTTGCTTTTCTCAATTTCTTTCTGATTAATATTCGTATGTAGGTTTCTATGCTCTGCTTATGACATCACAAAAGGGTTTGTGATTAGTCAGACATATTACACTCTGATTCTCAGTAGAAATGTGTAACAGTTTTACATAGGAACAAGCAGAATAAATAGTATATACTAGTATCTGTCAACAGTAACATTTTGGCTGGTTAGTGCTCTGAGCTTCATTTCTTGTATCTGGGGCTTTACAGTCTTATAGTGTTGAAACAACAGTTCCCATATGATCACCAAAGTTAAGCAACGCCAAGCCTGGTTAGTACCTATATGCTTGAATGATTGTGAATAACATCTGCTGTAAGCTTGTATGTATGAGTAATGTTATGGATGGTGGCATGGAATTGTTAATCAGATAGACGATTACCAATTTCACTTGGATTTGTTATATTTACTTACACACAAATACCATTGGGAAAGCTATGAATCCACCTCTTTTCCCCCAGTTAGGGATTAAATAGTAAGACTTGTATCACTGAAACATTATTATCTCAAAAAACAAAATTTTTACAATCAGAATATTTTCTGACTTTTATGCAATGGGGTGATAAACAGTAAAAAATGAATCTTGCATCTGGTATTCTTTTGAAATGAATATGTTTTTCACTTTGCTCTGTCTGAATTCAATATAGAGAAATTGCCTATGAGATCTGAGTTGCAAAGATTGCCATCTCTATAAACAGTTGAGTTGGCGACATGTAACCATAAATTCTATGCTAACAGTTTCTTTTCTCACACTTCTCGCTTGTGGGACTTCCTTCTGGCTAAATGCTTTCTAGCCAACTTTAATCTACAAAAATTTAAATGCAATGTCAATCGCTATCTGATATCTTTTTTTCTTGCTCCTCAGCAATGGTTCTATTTATAACTCTTCCACACCCAATGACCCCTTTTGTCTCTCTGGCGTTACTGCCTTGCTTAGAGTGAACTTGATTTAAAAAAAATAAAAAAAAATTGTGATTATCATTTTAATTCTTAATTTTTTTTCCTGCTTTTCTTTGTTTTTGTTTTTTCTCTTTTTTTCCTTCTCTTTTCCCCTCTCCCTTCTCTTTTCCCCTCTCCCTTCTCTTTTCCCCTCCCTCTTCCCTCTTCTCTCTTCCTTTTTCTCTTTTCTCTTCTCTCTTCCTTTTTCTCTTTTCTCTTCTCTCTTCCTTTTTCTCTTTTCTCTTTTCTCTTCCTTTTTCTCTTTTCTCTTCCTTTTTCTCTTTTCTCTTCCTTTTTCTCTTTTCTCTTTCTTTTTCTCTTTTCTCTTCCTTTTTCTCTTTTCTCTCTCTCCTCTTTTTTCTCTCTCTCTGTCTCCACTTTTTCTCTCTCTCTCTTCTTTCCCTCTTTTCTCTTTCCCTCTTTTCTTTCTCTTTCCCCCTTTTCTCTCTCAAAACAGATTTAGTCTGCAGTTTCCTCTTTTATGTGTTCTTTTTCTTTCCCCCGCAGGTAAGAAGCCTCGAGAAGCAGATATCTCTACTCACTGAAAATCAAATGAAGAATGAAGACAAGCATCAGCGATTAAAAGAGGAAAACAGTAGCCTTATCCAGAAGTGAGTAATTTCTATTTTCTCCCTCCATTTCTTTTTTTGTCATTTGTTGTTTCTCTCAAAAAAAAAAAAAAAAAAAAAAACCCAAATCCTATCCTCTTTGTCAGCCACTAATCCTGCCAAGAAAAAAAAAAATCATTGTTTGTATTTACATGACTTTGTTTTTCTTCTATTCAATTGAAATCTTCTTTATGACTATTTTCTATTTTTTTCTGTTTTAAGAAGACAAGATTAATTGTAAATGAGGGTGGAGAATAAGACAACATTGATAATGCTAACATTTGAATCATTAACTGAGTTAAGACAAACTTTTAGCATCATAACTGAATTCCTCTTCCTTCTTCTCAGTACTATTACGCTCCCTTGTGTAGACCAGGGCCACAGCCTCATTACAATAGGTAGTGATGCTGCTGCTGCTGTTTTGGTAGGAAGTAGTTTATTTTACCGGGTGGAGTTATGTTGTGCAGAAAGACTGTGTAATCTTCTCTACACTGTTATTGAAACATGAACTCATCCATCCACTATGAGTACAATGCCTACTCATGGAACAGTGGGCACAAAGTGGGTTGCTAAAGTGTAATGCTTTCAGTCATATAGAACTACTGTATTCTCAATCCATGTTCTCATGTGATTAAAACCTTCTTTACTCAACCATTTGTTTCCAGTGTTTTCCTTACAGTCTTACTAACCAGCAACTATAAATGTTATATGAACTTTATAAGTTACCAGCTCAACTAATTTTGAATTCAGAGTTCCTATAGAAAGAA